CTGGTTTTGGAAAGGATGGAAGGTACCAAAAATGGTGATGTTTGCACAGAACCATACCGACCGAGTTTCGGAAAGCTTAGTAAACCCTTATCTCCATTGGAGTTAGTTGACAAAAACCATACCCTTATCTGCATTAATAAGATATGAATTTACAATAGAAAATATATAGTTTCTTCTTCCTTATTATAATTTTGTTTCATACTAAAATAAAGGCTAGCTTTTGTATAAATAGATAACCCAAGCTGCAGCAAAGATCAGTTGTTCTGTAGACAATCTAAGTTCTCACGTTCTGACATGTTATCCATTCACTGACCCATTGGATGTTATGTTCTGTTCTTTACAGCTATATGTTATGTAATTGGTGTATGGGAAAGCTTTATGAATCGTGATTTAGGGTCGTTCTCTAATTGAATCTTATTATATGTTTTGTATCTTAATTAAATTAGCTTGAGCTTGAAAAGAAGGTGTGTGCTTGAGGACTTTAAAGTTTGGACGTTATGTTTATTTTAAGTGTCGAAGACTTGAGTGTGATTGTGTTGGAGATGTTAAAATTTCATATTTCAATCTTTTTTTCATTTTTTTTGAAAAAAAAAAAAAAAAAAAAAAAAAACCGAACCAACTAAAACCAAAAAAAAAAAATAGGCCAAATCGAAATTTCGGTTTGGTTTCAGTTTTGGCAAAAAATCGAATCGATTTGAACCGAACCCAGCCCTAATGTCTCATCTCTCGGCGACCATTAAAGAGTTGAAAATTTTTTAGCCATGAGTGATTCATAGGTAAGTAACGACGGTGCCCAATGTGACAATACTTGTCTCTCAACTTAGTGTAAGATCCATCCTCATTGCACACTGGACATGCCAACTTGCCATGAGTGCTCCAACCTGATAAATTTTCATAAGCCGGGAAGTCATTAATGGTCCACATAACAGCTGCACGCAAATTAAATATACTCCTAGTCATCTTATCATGGGTTGGAACACCATTTTCCCACAGTTCCTTAAGCTCATCAACCAATGGATGCAAATAAACATCAATCTCATTTCCAGGTGCTTTTGGTCCAGGAATTAATAAGGTCAGAATAGAAAAAGGTTTATTCATGCATTTCCATGGGGGCAAATTATATGGAAATACAACAACTAGCCACATATTATACGGCTTACTTATATCTAAATAAGGAGTAAACCCATCACTCACAAGGCCCAATTGGACATTTCGTGGGTCTCGAGCAAAATTAGGGTACATTTGGTCAAATTCTTTCCAAGCATTCGAGTCTGCTGGATGCCTCATTGTGTTCCCATCATTGATTCTTTTCTCCTTGTGCCACCTCATGTCTTTGCTCGTATGTCTCGATATGAACAACCTCTATAGCTTTGGCTTAAGTGGAAAGTATCGCAACATTTTTCTTGGAACTTTCTTCCTCTGCTCATAATGACTATCCTTATACCTTGGCTCATTACAAACTGGACATCTCTCTTTCTTTTTGTGTTCTTTATAAAATAGTGCACAATCATAGTAGCAAGCATGTATATTTTCACACCCCAATCCAAGACTTGTCAATATCTTCTTGCACTCATGAAATGAGTTAGGGACATTGTTAGGCTGGGGACACATCTTCTTCATCATTGCTAACATCTTATCAATTGCCTTATTTGTCATATGGTTGTCAACTTTAGTATGAATCAACTCTACGACGTATGTCAAAACTATATATTACTTACATCCAGGGTATAGTTCCTTTTGAGCTTCACCAAGTAACATCTCATAAGTATCAACATCTGTCCACGCATTGGTCATATCACCACCCCACATGGTATCTTGGTTCCCCATTGTATCTTCATCATCATCATCATCATCATCATCATCATCTATTCCTTCAAAGACATCCTCAATCATATTAAACATGTTGACATTAGAGTTACTGGTTGGCTCATTGTTCGTAGATACCGAAGATTCTCCCTGCACTTGTTGGATATGCTCCCCATGATCCATCTATCATAATTCATATCCATACCAGAATTCAACAAATGGAGATGAACATCTTCAACTAAGTGAAAAAATGTGTTATGGCAAACTCTACAAGGACATGGTATTTGATTATTCTCGTTCACATGGTGGCAAGCAATGTCAATAAATGACTTGATCCCTTTTCTATATTCGGAACGAAGGCGATCCCGACTACGAATCCATTGTCAATCCATGAAATCAGATCACTTCAATCCTAGTATTGAGCTGCATACTCTGACATATTTCAATAGGTTGCCATAATAGAAAATATATATATGAATATATATGTAAAGTTGTTAAAATAGACGTATAATATAACAACCAAAAACTTCAAGAAGCTCAATTGAAAAATTCACATATCCCAACTCAACAACAACTAGATGCTAAAACAAACGTACTAGAAAATAGAGAAATCATAAAAAAATCACCATGCTAGATACTAAAGTTGCAATAATCTAACAGAAAAACCACCGTGCTTTCAGCATATACATGCACAATACTTCGTATTCATCATTACTATTTAAATGCAATGATTATTTGGCTAGCGGTAGCATTAATAATATGTCATTGTAAATTGCAAGCATTAAAGACAACATACCAACTTGGAGCTTTAGTCTTGTACTTAAGTAATCTTGACCTTGAGCACCTTCAATCCTGAAAATCATGAAAGTATAAAAATTTCATAAATGTACAAAGATAAATGTGCATTAGAGTATAGTTAAATAAGAGCGTAATCGTAAGATGCTAGATGGAGTCCACTCTGTGGCTCTTAATCCATCATCTTAAACTATCATATTCACCTTTTTCCCACCTTTCCTCTTCATGTCATATAAACGCTCTTTTTTCCCCGAATCACAATGAAAAATTGATGTTGCATACATATGGGGTGACTGATGCTGCATATGACTGATGCTGCATAACTGATGCTACATACATATGGGGTGACTAATGCTGCATAACTGCTGTTGCATACATATGGGGTGACTGATGTTGCATATGACTAATGCTGCATATGGATATTAGACGATATGAGGTGACTGATGCTACCAGATTTTATGTTTCCTCTTTCCATGGTATTCTCTATTAAGTCTAATTCCTTAATTTGAGGAAGATTGACATCTAGATGACTTGTTGATAGTTGTATGCTAGCTACTTGTTGCACTCCCTTAATTTAAGGAGTGACAACTTTAGGGTTTACCGAGTTAGTAGGATTTGCCAAGGTAGGGTTGCTTGTAACCTTCTACCTCATTATATATCCCCTCTTGTACATTCAATCAATCTATGAAAAATACATTCAAACAAACTTAAAATTTCCAGAGAATTCTACGAGTGGTTTTCAGAGTTCTACTGGAGGGATGTAAGTAGTTTTAATCATTTCTTATATTTATATGCTACCAGATCTCCACCATCACCCCTTTTCAGCCAGCCAAAACACAAGAAAGTACACATCTAAAGAATTCCCAGCACAAGTAGCTAGTAAGAAATGGCACTAAGATCATTGTAGGCCCTACCCAAAAAAATTCAAGGCGAACATAGTCTTGACTCTTGACAACACCTCTCTCAAGAAAGACAACACGCAACTTAATGGTTACCGACTTCCAACATTTGAACAAAAACAAAAAACAAAAAGATAACACTTAGTCAGGGGACTAAGAAAAAATATAAAAACATATATTAACCACCAAGACCAAAATTTTGACTCCAAAAAGTAAAGAAGAATCAAGACTGGAACAGAAAACTCACTGCTAGTATGAAGCAGAGAACAATTCACCAACAATAGGATCTTTAGCGAAAGAAAATCAGAATCTGGGGAACAATTAAAGAAAAAAATCCAAAAACAATTAAAGAAATATAGAGAAACAAAGTACCTTGTTGTCAACTGAAAGAACTTGAGAAAAAATAGAACTTCTCTTTCCCCAATTTGATCTTGTTATGTCAAAGAGATAAGAGAGTTAGTGAACGAGAATCAAAGGGTGGGAGAATGGCTGAGGGAGGGAGACGAAGGAGAGGTGGTAGTCGCCGTCGCTAGCAACCACCAAGTAGCCGGTCGTCGAAGTTAGGGTGAAGGAGTAGACGAAAGGGTGCTGAAGACTGGGAAGAAATGAGAATAAATGGATAAGTTTTGTTATTTGGGGGTTTTGATAATTGCATCTATATTTTTTATTTTTAATTCAATATTATATGTGAGGAATGGCCAGGTGGCCTTCCCTCTTCATATGTGATGAATTTAACATTGCGTCACTTATTAAAGTTTCGTTTGGCAGTAAACTTTCCCGCCCACTTTTTTGTGGCGAATCCAAAAGTATAAGTGACGCAAAATATTTTGGTGTCCTGCAAAAATCTTAAAGTGACGATTTTTAGAAAAGCGTCACTTGTTTTACCTATATGTGAGGAATTTTCACGCGCCACAAAAAATTCAGTCACTTAATCCATGTTTTCTTGTAGTGGGTGTTATGGTATTAGTTTTGGAACTTAAACTTCGGGTTCAATTTTATGATGCTAATTAAGAGAAAAATAGAATTTGACTGGAAAATAAGAATCCCTCCAATGTCTTTACCTCTAATTGCACAAATGATTCTTGAACTCGATCACATGTCGGTATTTACAATGGCTAGGTTGGCAATTATGCTGCCGATTAACTTGAAAGAATTAAAGAAGCTGACCGTCATTGAGTGCCCGGGTAAAGTCATCAATATCCTCTACGGTGTTGTACAAGTGAGGACTCGCCGGCGCACTCGCAGAGTCTCCTAAATGCCGATGAAGGGGTTGGGCACAATGGTGACCTGATCGGATAGCCACTCCGTGCTGGAATTACATAAGTTAGCACCAGCTGCTATATTAAAGCTCACTTGTATTGTACAGTGGAGGAAATAAAACGCTGTTTGTTCTGATACCTGTTGGTCAAGAAAAGTAGCTAGATCAGTAGGGTGTATGTTCCGCTGCGTTGAAAGAACAAAGAGCCGCCCGAAAGACGTGCTCTGAGAACATTGGGGACAGATTGAAGGCTCTCGTATAGATACTTAGCAAGAAACGTCTGTGAAAAAGAAGTGCAAACAAGAGCATTTAGTGTATAAGCATTACATAAACAGGTGATTTGGCTCAAATAGAAACACAAAATTTGGTATATATTTGCTTAGCAATATTACTTCTAGGCAGAAGAATCCACAAGTTAGGTCTCAAGGGGCAGCTTGCATCTCAAGGGGTGGTGGTAGTGTTGACTTCCAGGGATGAGAAGAGGGGAAGAGCAGCAACATCTAAGCTCCACAAGTTAGGTCTGTCACCGGTTATCATCAATTCCTTGGCCAAGTTCGTACACGCAACATTTGGGAGCCTTGATATTTTGGTAAGGCCAATTAATTCAGCTTTTACCCCTCAAAGTTATCCGAAACACACAAAGGTTAAAATCAACACCCGCCTCGCTGCCATTTATTGGGTACGAATGTCTCTCTTTCTTAAGTTGATGTGGCCTCACTATTTTAGAGATAGTTTGACTTTGCCTCGCTGTTTTAGCAAGGGTTTTCTGCGTGCATTTGGTGCCAGATTTGTCGCCTTTATCATCTTTTGTGGTAGATTTGTATCGGTCGCCTTTATCATCTATAAGAAATTGATCACCGAAGAAGATGTACCCATCTGACACTTTCCCGTAACTCAGACCTTATCTTTTCCTAGTAACAAGATCATGATTTGTCGAGTTTCTTTGAAACAAAATTAGCAGTTGATAGTCTGAACCGTTGCGGCATTTCCTTGATGTAAGATTTTAACTGCCAAATGCATCGCTAAATCTCCAAGTCCCCAATTATTAGCAAAATGCATCGCTACATTCTGGAAGGTGAGATCTCTAAAATCCCAGATGCATAACCTCATAAAGATACTAAACAATGTATCTGCATCGAGTTTCTCCGATGTAACCTACAGAAAAAGCGTTCAAGGAAATAAATCCTGAATATCAACGATATCAGCAAGGACACCAGCTGCTGTAGTATCATTGCCGGCTCCAGCTCCTTGAATCACCAGCGGTTGGTCTTTATAGCATCGACTGTAAACCTCCAACTGCAAATTCATAAACAGTTAAGAATTGCCAAGCTTCATCTGTGCTATTAACGAAATGATCAATATATGCAAATTACTTTTTAAGTAACTTTGATTTTCTGTCCAATTCCACTATATGCTAACTATTTGTTTTGGAACTTTGATCGTCAATTCAAGATTCGTTCCATAAATGGTCAAACTTCTCTTTGTTATTGACCATTTCGTAGTGAAATCTATAATTTTGTCTCCCTCCTTATGTCTCCCAGGAACAAGTTGACGAAGAAATTTGATACATGACCTTGCTTTCCCGAATAATCTCATCCATGAAAACTCTAATACAAGACCTGAGGTGCGATTAATGAATTGCACAGTGTAAGGTTTATATCGCATGTCCACTTTATTTTCATTTGTGCATTGTCAAAAAATATCTTTATTTAACTTTCAAAAGTAAATTTGTAAAGAAATGGGCTTACAACATTGTCACTTCCTCTCAGCCTTCCTAAAGCAGAATCCTTGGGAAGCTCTTGAATGCCAACTTCACAACTACCAAAAGCTGGGATCAGTTAGTATCACACCAAAGGAGTCACTAAAATACCCAAGTTAGTATATGATATGCAAAATCACAAGCGTAACGTAGTAGAATGAGAGGATGCAACTCAAAATTCACAAAATTTTTACAGTACTGCATTCGGTTATCATGATCATGACCAAGTTAGTATATGATATGCAAAATCACAAGCGTAACGTAGTAGAATGAGAGGATGTAACTCAAAATTCACAAAATTTTTACCGTACTGCATTCAAAAGATTGGTTATCATGATCATGACCATAAAGAACAACAGAAATATACATATAATGCCCGCTTTCCACTTTGAAGGATCAAGAAGTCCTAAAGAGTTTTCAGAAGATGCATAAAGCCTCCTTTTAACATTTTCTGTTTCCTACCTTACTTTTTGTGTTGATCGTTCTAATATTCCCAGATGGAGTATGAGAATATAAAGAAGTTTGACTAGATGAAAGAGGATGAACAACTGCCTCTAAGCCATCTGTAAAGATGAATAAACAACTTGAAGTACATTTGTAGTGTATTCTTGACAAAGATGTGTTTATTACCCTGATCTACAACATCTTATTCCTTAGGGTAACCTAGCTTGGGCGAATACCAACTGCTAGACAGACTACGTTGGCAAGCAACCAACCATGGGTCCACCAAGAAAAAAGTTTGGCGTGGTCAATTATGGCGAGATGCAACCTTTTTGTTTTTTTTTGTTAAAATAAGGATACAAAATTACCAAAATAAAAAGTTCTATACGTTGGCTTACTTTCATCTATAAGCATTTATGTTCACAATTCAGAACAAAATTGGAAAATCACCAAAAATACATTTGAACGCATTTATATATACACAACACCTACCAATCTAGGTTTCATAAAATTGGTTCCAATGAATATTTCTCTCACCTGGATTCACACTGGACCCTCTTCTCTCTCCACGGAATACCAACAATACCATTATGGGGTGACTGTAAAATGAAGACACCGTCCTCAACAAGCGCCTTCATATTTTAACACAACTTACCAAACCTAATTTGGAAGTCTAACCGAGTCTTTGTGACCTAATGAAAAAAAATAGGTGCTTCGTAATCCAAACCATCCATTAACTGAATCCAAGTGCCTTACATATAGGGAACAATGGACCTTTGCTTATATGAACACATGCACACTGACAAACTAAAAAACAACGCAAACATAAATACACGCTCGAGAGAGTGCTTCTTTCAGCATATCGCATTTTGAACATAAATGTAGAAAAGAGTACCTTGAGTCCTCAATCACACAGACATAACGTAGCACCTTCCCATCCAAAGAAGCCTTAGAGACTCTCTCTTGGATATTTTTATCGAGCAATAATAGCCCACTTCCCAGAAAGTCTTCAATAGACATTACACTAGGTGCCATTTCTTCAGGATATAAACTCTCAATCTAAACAATGAAATAGCGATCATAAAAGTAATAACATATAAGTTCACAACATGAACATAGGAGCAAGTGTGATAAATCATATATATATATATATATATATATAATATATATACACACATATATATATATATAAGCAGTAGATAGTACCAACCTTAATGGCATCCAAGTTAATGCGCTGACCAAGAAGCCTAGCTAGTATCAAAGCCTGTGTAAGATGGTATTAGAAATTTATGAAGTATTGCTAGAGCTTCAACATCAAATCATTTATATTCTCATCATATCGTTCGAGTGTTCTTTCATATTATGGCATTGTTGTTTGAACTTTCAGCTGATTAAAGTGAATTTAAACGCACACAAAAAACCATGTCCACACCTTTCTTGCAACATCCATCCCACTAAGGTCATCGCGTGGATCTGCAATTACAATATAAAGTCAAAAGTGACCACACTGACAAATGCTCACGAAGCTCAAGACATACTTCTTAGTCCTACTTATATACAGTGGGAGATAATAACTCAATAAATAAAAAGGATAATATAAACTTCAGATGATCAATCCGTGATTTACTACAAAGTTAAAAACATTCAAAACCTGGTTCAGTGTAACCCAGGTTTTTAGCAGAACGAACAACTTGACTTAGTAGCTTTCCACCTTCAAGCTCACTCATTACATACCCCAATGTCCCTATCACATGTACATAAGACGAAACATATATCAGTATGAATACTCAGTTACATGCAGGTGGCTTATGTTAAAAATGCAAGAAAGCCAAGGGAAAACTTTGGTACCACTCAAACTCCCGATAATGCGGTGGACAGGATCTCCAGATGACAGTATGCGATTTAAGGATGCTATGACAGGGAGGCCAGCACCAACCTACCAAATCTAAAATCAATTCAGGGGAAATTGCAAGAAAATGAACGTATATAGAGAGAAAGCACAATAAAATTATAGTAAACAATGAACACTACCAGTTATTAGAGTTTTATTCCACTTGAGCAAGGCATATGAATTAGAATTACACATGTATGTATCATGCTGGACAGATGGTGTGTGCAAATGAACAAATGGGTGTCTATGACAGTAATTAGCTGCTACAGAGGATGCAAAGGGTGACAACAACAACAAAATAAAAATGATGCAGGAGGAGGAAGAAAAGTAAAAAATGCAGGCCTTAAGGTAGTTTTCAATATAAAATCTTCTTTACATTTTCAGTTATGTACTATTGTTGCTCCTTTGAGCTACAGAACTGATCTAACTATAGTATTTCTTTTGTTAATTTGCGTGAAATGGTTTTAAAAAAAAAAATATGGAATGAAGAGGCGACTGACTGTAATTTTCATAAGAAGTCAACAATAAGTTGGGGAAAATCGTGGATATGTTATGAGTAAACCAAAAATTCTGAGGTTCAATCAATTGTGATAAGAATCAGATTATAAGTCAAAAACGATAGTAGACCATATAGATGAACAAGACTAAGCAATTCATCTCTAAACACACTCTACTTTTCATGTCCTGGTCATAATTCACAGCACAAATCAATAACTGGAGCAAGAAGTGAACTTACAGTTGACTCATGACGAATGTGACGTGGGTGAGAAACTAATTTGTCATAGTCCTCCTGTAGGTGAGAAATGCATAATGCATCTTTGGGTGGTGTGGAAGTTAAACTACCAGAAATCAGTGATATACAAGTAAAATGAACGAGAAAAGAGCAGAACGAAGCCCTTTTACCTCGTATTTACAATCAGAATGAACATTTGCATTGATTGCCGTAAGAATAAAATTTGTCACTATCAATATTTCTTGGTATTAGAACATTACTGAAAAAGTTTAGTACCATTGTTGAAGTAAGAGGCTTCTTATTTGCCATGACAACGCAACAATCCAAATCCACCGCTTGGGTTAGTACCGGAATAGTATCAGAACTGGCAGAGCAATCGACAAGTGCCAAACCTTTGCAAAACGAAAACAAAACAAAAATTTCAAACAAATGAAGTTGAAATCGTTCATTTTGGTGAAAAGATTGCAAAAGATCATCATACACGCCACGAACCTGTTGATTTACCCAAGAATGCAGCAACATCTACAATCTTTTTGGTTGATTCCGAATTCGTGAATACCTGGAACTCCCCTTTACAAAACAACAAATACTAAGCATACGAAACAAACACCAGCTAAAACAAAAGATCGAAAACCCAATTAATCATCTCATAATTTCACGGGGAAGTGAAGTTACCATAACCACTGAGCGTGGAGAGAGAAGCGCCATTCGACTTGGCCCGGCAAACTTCCAATAAAAAGTCATCAGGCAGCTCCATGGTGAAAGCGTCGGATGCAACGAGTAAGGATTTACTGTCGCTTACTCCCACTACTCTCAGGTGGATTCCCTGCCCCGTGCCCGCCCACATCAAGATTATCCCATCAATACCGCACATCAACAACAACAACAACCGGAGGCAATGAATTTGGAAGAATGATTGAGAAATGGAATGTAAGCAGTACCTGTTTGGCGTGAAGTGATCGGCAGGAGACAATGTGCTGGAGGAGCTGACGCCCAACGCCGCCGCAACCCATCAGAATCAGAGAGATGTTCTTGCTCATTGTTTTGTTTCTTTCTCCTGATAAAACCCAAGCCAATACCTAGCTGCAACCTTGACTGTGTGGTAATGGTGGGTACTGAGGAAAGGAATTGCACAGCAAGAAAAGGAAATTTCTAATTGTTTTTCATATGTGCTTTTCAATCCACTAGCTGAGGCTTTTATCCCACAAGCCAGCCCTTACATTCGCGAGAGTGCCATCTGGCATAACAACAACTCAATTAAAACTAAAACCCACAATTAACAAGACTATTACAATCTAATCCTTACTCTAATACAATCTGACCCCCATTATTTAACTACTACTTCATAGTGATCCAAGGATTCACTAATAGGCCAATTGCAAGATCATAACATTTACTCCCGCCTTCGAAAAAAACCTTGTCCACAAGGTTAAAGAGAGAAAGCAGGGAATCGAGCTTGGAAAGTCTTCAAAGTCCTCCCATGTTGCAGAACTGGCATCTTGATCCTGCCACACTGAACAAGCAATTGAACGCCGGCAGAATTACCCTTCTTATACATGCGCCTGGGCAAGAATGGAGGCAGGAACCAACTGTTGAAGACCATCTTCTGTAACTTGGGGCAACAGGTTTGTTGGCTACCACATTCGGCCCTAAGTGCTTCTTAAGACTGCTGACATGAAAAAACAGGGTGGACTTTAGACATGGCAGGAAGTTCAAGTTTGTAAGCCACATCACCTACTCGGCTGAGAACCTTATAGGGACCATAGAACCTGGGTAACAGTTTATGATAACTGTGTGCAGCCAAGGATTGGAGTTGATAAGGAATAAGTTTTATATAAACCATATCGCCAACTGCAAAACTCCGTTCCGATCTCTTTTTGATCAGCTTGTGACTTCATCCTTGTCTGAGCTAATTCAAGGTTCCTTTTCAGAATCTCCAAAACCTTGTCCCTCTCAACCAAACATTGCTCCACAGAAGCGAACTTTGTAGAACCAGGTTCATACGGTGTGATATGAGGTGGGGAATAACCATACACTAATTCGAAGGGTGTGAACTTAGAAGAAGTGTGGTATGAGGTATTGAAACACCATTCGGCCCACGATAACCATTGTACCCATTTTTTAGGTTGGCCTCCAACAAAACAGCGCAGGTAGGTTTCCAAGCAGCGGTTCATAACCTCAGTTTGACCGTCAGTTTGAGGATGGTAGCCCGAACTCAATACACAACTTGGCATTGTGCAGTTTGAATAACTCTTTCCAGAAGGCGCTTATGAAGATCGGATCACGGTCACTGACTATAGAGTTGGGCATGCCATGGAGTTTGAAAATATGCTCAAGAAAAAGCTGTGCTACACTAGCCGCTGTATATGGATGTACCATAGGAACAAAATGACTATATTTGGACAGCCGATCAACCACCACCATGATAACAGTCTTACCCTTGCAATTAGGAAGTCCGACAATAAAGTCCATGCTTATATATCAGCCCAAATTCGTTCAGGAATTGGAAGAGGCATCAGTTTTCCAGGAGGTGCCACTGTTTCATACTTATGTTGTTGGCAGATGTGACACTCCGAAACGAAGAGTTTGACATCATTCTTCATACTTGGCCAATAAAAGTCCTTCTTAAGTTTGTGATAGGTTTTAATCACACCTTGATGACCTGCAGCAGGTATGGAATGATAAGCTTCGATAAGCTTGGTGCGCCATGGAGAGGAAGGGCTTAACAATATCCGTGCCTTGTACCGTAAAAACCCATTCTGGAAAGAGTAATTAGAAGATGTAGGGGTGGTAGCATTAGTCTCCTGTGCTTGGAAATACTCCTTAGCTTTACTCTGAATCCAAGAATCATGTTCATTATATTGTCGAAGTTCATCAAACCAACCAAAATGAGGATATGATATTGCTGCACATTCAGGAAGTAGAGGAGAGCCATGTACGCGAGAGAGAGCATCAGCTACATGGTTGTCACTGCCACTACGAAACTGGATCTCATAGTCATAGCCGAGAAGCTTAGAGACCCATTTTTGTTGGAAATGAGTATTGGCTTTCTGACTCAAGAAGTATTTGAGGCTGCAATGATCAGTTTTAATGGTGAAGTGCCTGCCTTGTAAGTAGGAGTGCCATTTCTTCACAGCATAAACGATGGCAATAAGCTCCCGTTCATAGGTTGAGAGAGATTGATTTTTTGGACCAAGCTTGACTGGTAAAGGCAATAGGTCTTCCTCCTTGTTGCAACACGGCTCCAATGCCATTACCTGAGGCATCACACTCCAGTTCAAAGGCTTTGGAGAAGTCAGGTAACGCTAAAACTGGTGGGGATGTCATAATATCTTTGAGCTGATTGAAAGTTTCTGTAGCTTCTTGAGTCCAATAGAATTTGTCCTTCTTGGTCAATTGATATAAGGGTTGGCAAATCTGACCATATCCAGCGATGAACTTACGATAATATCCCGTGAGACCCAAGAAACCCCGCAATTCTTTAAGAGTCTTAGGAATAGGCCAATCTCGGATGGCTTGTAAATTTGGAAGGATCTGCAGCTACCCCTTCTCGGGACACGATATGGCCTAAGTACTCAACACACTGTTGACCAAAAGAGCACTTGGATTTCTTTAAGGAACAAGCGATGTTGCTGTAAAGATTTGGAAAACAGCCAACAAGTGGGACATGTGATCCGCCCAAGAGTGACTGTAGATGAGGATATCGTCAAAAAAATACAAGCACACACACTTCCTTAATAAAGGCCTAAAAATATGTCGTTCATGAGTTGTTGAAATGTTGCCGGGGCATTAGTAAGCCCAAAAGGCATTACCAAGAACTCATAATGGCCTGCATGAGTTTTGAATGCTGTTTTTTCAACATCAGCAGGTTGCATCAAGATTTGGTGATAACCGGAGCGAAGATCTAACTTGGAAAAAATAGGTGGCACCACAAAGTTCATCCAAGAGATCATCAATAAGAGGAATTGGATATTTTGTTTTTGATTGTGAGAGCGTTAAGTTCCCTATAATCAACACACATACGCCAAGTGCCCTCTTTCTTCCTGACAAGAAGTACAGGGAAGGAAAAGGGACTATGACTGGGTCGGATAAAACCGGCATCCAATAAGTCCTTGACAGCTCGTTCAATCTCATCCTTTGCAAGAGGCCCATAGTGATAGGGCCGTATATTAGGTGGTTTGGCACCGGGCAACAATGGAATGTGGTGATCATGTGAGCGGGAGGGTGGAAGTTGAGATGGCAGCACAAAGAGGGACTCAAAGTCGGCCAATAACGCATGCAGTTGTGTAGATTGAGCTGAGGACAACTCACAGTCACGAACAAGCACCGGTCGTGTCTCCATAGAATACAACAAAAGGCCCAAGTTGGAATTAGCAACTTCCTTCTCAAGATGCTGTAAGGAGACTTCTTGAATAAGAGAAGGTGGAGCCGCAGAATGAAACAATTGGTAGTGCTGATTGTCCTTCGTGAATGCCATAGTCAAGTGATGGAAATCCCATAAGACAGGGCTAATGGAAGAGAGCCACTGAACCCCCAAGACTAAATCACAACCCCCGAGAGGCAATGAATACAAATCAACACTGCAAGTATAACCTCCTAAGGACAGTGCACCGGACCGCCAACAGCCTGAACTTTGGACTTTACCACCATCGGCAATCATGACCTCAAATGACTTAGTAGGATGAACTGGTTGGCCCCATTGTTTTAACAACCGAGTGTCGACAAAGTTGTGCGTGCTGCCGGAGTCTAACAAAATCCGCACAGAATGACCCTGGAGAGTGCCCTGCACTTTCATAGTTTGAGCTTTCGGGGTGGCGGTTGTCCCATAGAACGCACACTCACTGAGTTCCATGTGATGAACTTCAGGAGGGGAGTCCGGGGGAAACGCATCAAGCTCCGCTTGGTCAGCAACATCGAGCATAAGCAATTGCTTCAACCCACATTTATGACCCGGAACCCATTTGTCAGTGCAAAACCAACATTCGCCCTTATCCCGTTTTAATTGGATGTCAGCTGGAGAAAGCTTCTTAACAGGATAATTTTGGACCCGAGGAACATAGGGATTGATGGCAGTAGTAGTGTTTGGGTGGTGTTTAGGAACTGTGGGTGATGGTTTAGGGATACCGCCTTTGAGCTCTTGAAACTTAGTATCTAACTGAACCGCAATGGCAATAGCATCATGAACAGAATGAGGCTTCAACAATTTCACATCATACTTTAATTCTCGTTTAAGGCCACCAAGGAAACAACTCTTTAACAAGAGATGACCAACATCACAAGTACGATTAGCCAGTTTTCTAAATTCAGCAATATAATCACGCAGGGTACCTGTTTGGCGAAGTTTGAAGAGTGCCTCAGTACTATCGTCAAACTCGGAAGGACCAAACTCCTTACACAGTGCTTGAGTGAAGTCCTCCCAACAGGGAGTAGTATTGGAACAATCCATCCATCGATACCACTGAAGGATCTCCCCCTCGAGGTGGAATGAAGCTGTGACCACGCGCTGAGAAGCAGGAATGCCATAATAAACAAAAAATTGTTCAGCCTTATAGATCCAGGATAACAAATCGTCACCATCGCCAAATCGGGGAAAGTCGATGCGCGGAGACCACGGTGGCTTGACCGTAGCACTGCCAGGGGTGACCGGACTGTGCGGCGCGTGGATGCGGTCCATGTCGCGATGTGGAGGAAGATCCGTGAAAGAAGGAGCAGAAGGACCCTCGCCGCCGCCGCGAGCAGCTTGCTCACGACGAAAATTGCTCGAAATAGACAGGCAATCGTGTTTCAAAAGCATGATCAATGGCTTCAGCGAACTGATTGGGAAGGTTGGCTAAGATGGTTTCAATAGCAGCAACACGAGATTCCATGGCAGAGAGGCGGGCCGTGGTGGTGGAACGGGGCATATACAGAAGGGATACCAGAATCGGAGGGTGATACCAATGATAAAACCCAAGCCAATACCTAGCTGCAACCTTGACTGTGTGGTAATGGTGGGTACTGAGGAAAGGAATTGCACAGCAAGAAAAGGAAATTTCTAATTGTTTTTCATATGTGCTTTTCAATCCACTAGCTGAGGCTTTTATCCCACAAGCCAGCCCTTACATTCGCGAGAGTGCCATCTGGCATAACAACAACTCAATTAAAACTAAAACCCACAATTAACAAGACTATTACAATCTAATCCTTACTCTAATACAATCTGACCCCCATTATTTAACTACTACTTCATAGTGATCCAAGGATTCACTAATAGGCCAATTGCAAGATCATAACATCTCCCAATGTTTGCTGTTGTGCTCCAATTCTCCTTCTGCCCTTCCGGGTTTTGGTTTGATTGCGGCTCCTGGGTTTCGGAGTTGTTTCTAGTTTATCTGTTTACTGTTTGGGAAATTTTATTTCCACCATTTAACCTAATTTAAACTTTAAATGTGAAACGTTTTTATTATCTTATGGTACTTAGCTATTTCATTGTGGATGTAAATTCCCGTCATCTTCTCCTTTGACGAAAATGTACCTGCAAAATAATAACACCTAAAATTAAGCCCAAAAACCTGACACGCTCACGATGAACAGAGGGGTGTTTGGCCAAAGAATTTCCAATGTCAAAGTTAGAATTCTGAAAAGAATGTGTTTAGGAGTTTGTGGATAGCATATGGCTTAGCTTTTTAGCAGGAGAATATGGCTATTTATAGGGGAGTTGTAACATCCCACATCGCCCAGGGGAGTGAATCCTGTAAGCCTTATATGTATATTCTCATCTCTACCTAGCACAAGGCCTTTTGGGAGCTCACTGGCTTTGGGTTCCATCAGAACTCCAAAGTTAAGCGAGTTCACGTGAGAGCAATCCCAGGATGGGTGACCCACTAGGAAGTTCTCATGTGAATTCCCAGAAACAAAACCGTGAAGGCGTGGTCGGGGCCCAAAGCAGACAATATCGTGCTATGATGGAGTCGAGCCCGGGATGTGATGGGGGCCCGGGCTGGGATGTGACAATTTGGTATTAGAGCCAATCCCTAGCCGAAGGTGTGTCAACAAGGACGTCAGGCCCCTAAGAGGGGTAGATTGTAACATCCCACATCGCCCAGAGGAGTGGATCTTGTAAGCCTTATATGTATATTCTCATCTCTACCTAGCACAAGGCTTTTTGGGAGCTCACTGGCTTCGGGTTCCATCGGAACTCCGAAGTTAAGCGAGTTCGCACGAGAGCAATCTCAGGATGGGTGACCCACTGGGAAGTTCTCATGTGAGTTCCTAGAAACAAAACTGTGAGGGCGTAGTTGGGGCCCAAAACGGACAATATCGTGCTACGGTGGAGTCGAGTCCGGGATGTGGTGAGGGCCCGGGCCGGGATGTGATAGGTAGGGCTGGGCACGGGCCGGGCCGGGCCCAATTTTGAAGGAACCGGACCTTACCTGTTTTAAATAGTAACGGAGCGGGCCGGATCGGGTAGAAAGATTTTGAGTTTTGGATCCGGACCTAACCCGGCCCGTTTGAAACGGGCCGATTCGGGGCGGGTCCATGGGTCCAACTCTTTTTTTTTTAATTTATATTGCAGTGCTGCTCTGCAATGCAACAACACTGGAATGAAATTAGCAGACTAAACCGGCCAACGTCCCTAGCCATTGGACTGGCGGTTCTTCGCCTGAGCAGTTTGACCAACACCGCGACAAAAGCGGCAGAAAGTAATGCTTGCTTGTGGCCTAAAACATCTTCCAAGTACCTTTTAGCCTTTGCCAAATGCATCTTCCTAATGGCATGGGCAGTCTAAAACAGATAAACAAATACAAATTTTAACAATCGAATTGAAACAATCCAAGCATAACACAAGCAATCCAAGATAAACAGATTTGAAAATTACAGGAGCTGTTCTTTAAAACTAAGGTTGCACTGCACATCAATTCTTACATATATATATATATTCAGTACATCAATTCTTGAATACACACACACACATACTCACACACATAATCGATTCAAATTCAATTTAATTCAACAAAGTTTCAACTCAGTCGATTCAAATTCAATTCAATAAAAGATTTGAAATTGGAGCATAACAGAGGCCAAGGTTCAAGAACCCAACAAAATCCCTAAATCTAGAAAACCCTAATTTAATTTTCAATCTTAAATCCCTAAAACGTAATACCTTAAAACTGAAGAGGAGTAGAGTCGTGCGCTGCAAATATGGGTCTAAGTCAGACGGAGGAGATGACTGGTTCGAAATCCGGTTGTTTTATGTCCAGGTTACCCCCTGCGTGACTGGGAGCGTTCCCAACCACCTCAAGCTCCGCCACATCTGACGCGAGATTGGGTCGTGCGCTGCAAATACTGAAACGTAAAACGTAATACCTTAAAACTGAAGAGGAGTAGAGTCGTGCGCTGCAAATATGGGTCTGAGTCAGACGGAGGAGATGACTGGTTCGAAATCCGGTTGTTTTACGTCCAGGTTACCCCTTGCATGACTGGGAGCGTTCCCAACCACCTCAAGCTCCGCCACCTCTGACGTGAGATTGGGGTATAGCTTGAAATCAACAGGACATGGGTTCTGGCGTCAGACTTGGCATCGCTCATGCTCCGCCGCGATCGAGTCGATAAGGAGTAGTCAGAGGTGATGTACGTCAACGTCGATAGCGTGAGGGTCACCGGTGGGGTTGAATTTGAGGTGTACGAGAACAATGATATGGTTCTATGTGGGTCTCTGGAGCGGTGGAGGGTGTTTGGATCAATGGAAATGCGCAGGGATTGAAGAACGATTCGAGAACGGGTGGAGCTCGGAGGAGAGATCGAAGTCTGAGAATCTAAGTGAAATGAAAGAAGTTGGGGTGAGAGATGCAAAGACAGGCCTCAGATTCTATTCCATGCTAGAAACGGGCCAGGCCGGGCCGGGGGCCCGTTCCCTTTTATTTTAAGATCCGACCCGCCCCACTAATTTCATATACCCGAACTGCCCCGCCCCGTTTTGTGTTTAGAAATTTTGGACCCACCTCGAACCTGAATTACCCGCCCCTACCTGCGGTTCCTGTACCCGTTTGCCCACCCCTAGTGACAGGAATGGCCGACCCTATTTGGAGAATAGTGGCCGGCCATATATGGTGTAATTGGAGAATAATTACAAAATATTATGTGAGATAATATCTTGCAATTAACATGGCAATTAATCCTAAATTAAATAGGAAAATTGGGAGTTACCTTTTGAATAAGGATTTGATGAGGGGTGATGAGAAGGATTTGAATAATTTTGATCACTTTTGACTCTTCCTTGATTGAGTCGTTATTGTCCGTTGCATGCACGTGGGAATTCCGATGTGCCTCTAGGGTAATTTTATCCTTTTTACCCAAAAGTCCACGTGTCACCTCCATATTTTCTTGATTATTTTTTGCTCCACAAGTACGACCTTTGAATCTTTACATTATCGCATTGTTGGTTGTGCTACATCCCATACTTTATGGGATTGTCTTCATACGCACTTTTCTCAAACATCTATTACAAATGTAGCCACTCTGCGTTTGGATTTGTCTAAAGGCTCCAAGACTACGGATATATACATCCAAGAAGCCAAATTTATTGTTGATCAACTTGCCGAAATTAGTGAACCTATTTCTAATAAAGATCTCATTATGTGTACTATTTGTGGACTTGGCCCCGACTACCATATACTTATCACCACCTTGATCAATGGTCATTTTTCTTCCTTCATCGAGTTACGTTCCAAACCTTTGACCAACAAAATCCCAAAAATAATTATGGCGTTCATAAAGGACAAGCCCTTCTTATGGTGAATCCCCTATAGTATACAAATTGTCGGCTTGATGGTGGTCATGGCAACTATAGCTGTGGTGGTGGAGGCAGCCATGAAGGCTGGTGTGGTTCATGGGATTGGCAAAGGTCGGGCAACGGATGTCACGATCGGACTTCAATCTGGAATTTGATTGGCCCAACTCGGCGCACTAGGATTGCGGAGACTTGGATCTAGGTGAGCTCATTTCTTATTCAATAAAAAATAAGCTTCGCCTGGATACCCCATGGCGCTTCGTCAATAGTGATCCATTTTTCACGATTTTCAACACACAATGAAAGACTCTTTATAATAAGCTGACATTTTGCTTATCTCGTCCCTCTTGCCGAGAGGAAGATTGTAGGTCTTAGACTAACTTCAATCAGCAGCAACAAACCTATGTGGCCTAGCTCAACAACCTGTATCAATAGTTATTGCATGCACAGCTGCCACATTACTTCAACGTGGGCATAGCTAACAATTATCCCTAAAATGCCTGGCCCACTTTCCTGCCTCAGCAGCCGTGTAGTCCAGCCAACTCCCAAGCCCAACGCACTTCTTGGCCCACTATAACAGCCTTCATCTTTAGCCTAACTTGGTGCTACAACTGTAACACCTCTCAAGATACCCAACAAACATGTCCACATCGCTACAATGGGATTGACCAGGCCATACCCTTTTCGTTGGAGCCCAATTTACCTAGCAACCGAAAATTGTTTGGTATCTTAACACCGATGCTACCCACCACATGATGGGTCAATCATCTTGTTCTTCATATGCAGCCATATGCTGGTCATTCTAATGTCTACATGGGTAATGGTGATGATAGGAACATTACCCATACTTGTAATACCCTAAAAATTTTAAATATATGAATATGTGGAGTAAATCAAGAATAAATAGATTTATGGTTATGAAAATTTGATTAGAGAAATTTTAGAATTTTGTTTCCGGTATTTATTATAATTTACGTCGAAAAATTTATCGATAAGTGGAAAAGACAAAAATGCACTAGTTGACTAAATGTAATTTTACGATGACGTATTTTATCCTCATATATTTTATCGTATTTATTGATATAATTGGATAGAGCTCAACCCTGCTAAAGCGTGGGTAAAAACTGTTTGTGAACGGAGTTGAAACGAAGAAATTAAAGGCTTTAAAATAAATAAATAAAGAGAAGTCTGGAAGCTGCCAGATAGCAGCGTGAGAGAAGAGGAAAAGGAGAGATGCGAGAGAGAAGAAGGGGAAGGGGGGACTAATCGGGTAAGGAGAAAAATAGGGGAAATAAGGGAGAAATGGAAGAGAGAACTGGATGCCCTATGCCCTATTTTCCGATTCCAGCCACCATCGACGATGGGACCGTTGCCAAAATGATCCTTACTTCTAACCCAATCATTCTCCTTCCCATTTTCATCTGAAAATTTGATGAAATTTGGTGGATTTCAAGAGAAACTGTACTGGGGGACGCGACAGGTTTGGCTTCAATTCACCAAAATCTGAAGCTAACTCCGTCAGTCACCACCTCCCATAGTCTTCCCTCAATGTTAGGAACAAAGCCCAAGCAATGGTTGGAGCGTCAGAGTTTGTTTTGAGTTGAATTGAGAACACCTATTTATAGGG